TGTGTGTGTGTGTGTGTGTGTGTGTGTGTGTGTGTGTATTTCAGGCCCGAGGGGGAGAAAAAAACTCGAAATCTCCTACACAACAGCGAAGATACAGGAATAATCCAGTTGACATTTTTAACGGCACTATACACAACTTGTCAAGCAAGTACATAAAACGTTTACATACAGCCCCTGCACTGTCTGTTATTTACAAAAATAGAGACAACGTGGAAGTCCAATATCATAAACATTTAGAATTTCTTAAAATAAGAAACGTACGTGTATTTTCAAGTTTTAACACAAGTAAGAAAGATATGGCTAAGTTCAATCGTGTTATAGATAATTCACATAGTTGTGAATTTAAAAGTCACTAGATTTCTACATAATTCTACTCACCACGTTAGAGTACTGGTTAAGTTCCGAGGTTGAACCCCTTGCCATGTAGAGAGGACTATTATGTCCCGTCACAGGGTTCCAGGCACCGAAGAAGTCGTAGGTCATTAGGACGAGGTAGTCCAGTTCCCTGGACAACGTTCCATTAGTTGACAATAAGTCATAGTCAACAATAAGTCTATAGTTGCATTACAAGCAAGACAAAGAGAATTTGTACCAGCAATTTTACATGTAACACCAAGTGTTTTTTATACCATATACATTACAGCTACACACTAAGAGTTGTTTGTACCAGTTACATACAACACCAAGGCAGCATTCTGAATAAATGAAATGTGGCGTAGAAACTTACCATTCAGATAATTAAAAATTTGCTGAGAAATTTTCTGTAGCATGGACTCGAAACAGTTGTTGCTGTTATAAACGTGCAAAGCTTAAGTTCATAGTTTATAAGCCTGTATGAAAGAAGCAGAGCACAGAATTTCCATAAAGCATTGCGTTAAAAAAGTAAAGTTATAATTTCATTACGTTGCTACGATATACCGCATTTCATGTAGACCGCAGCGTAACCTCCAAGCACATACTTCCCTTGAAAATACAAGATTTAAAAGAAAAGTAGAGATCTCACTTTGAAATGAGGGCTACTTCGTATCCGCTGTCAATAGTGGACTTGCTTGCACTCACAGCAGCAGACAGGAGAAGGCGTGGTTTATCGGATAACCTGGAATCAATTTTGAAGGCGATCAACAGCTCCTGGAAAACCCAATTTGATGGATTAATGTATATGTTTATTAAACACCTTGAGTAGATTTTTTCGACGACACTAACACAGGATCGGAATATTCTTTCTTCTATACTACCGACCATTTTAAGTCCCAAAACCAGATTTGCTACTTTCGGCCTGTCTAGCAATTGGTTATAAAATTTCCCCTTTGGAGATCTGGATTCCGGTTCCTACTGGTTGTGGCGTGTGTACATTACCTCCAAACCCACCGGGGAAATCAATTTAATGTTAAGGAATATATTTTTGAATTCGAGTAAAGAGAAGCACATCGGCATGAAAATGGTCAGACAGTGCAGGAAGGGAGAAAAAAACACGAGCACGACCAACCTGAACCAGTAAGGTGAACTTGGCCTTATCCTCTGGAGGGCTGCCTCTTGAGCCTGGGTACTCCCAGTTCAGATCCAGACCATCAAAGTTCCTCTTCCGCAGAAAGGGGATGGCGTTCTGAAAGGAACAAGTAAAACTGACCTTCAAAGCGTTCTATTATGAAGAATTCGCTAGAATTGTGTTCCCGAAAATTTGAAAGGTTACCCAAGTGGACGACAATATTTATAGTGTTAAGTTTAGATCCTATATATTATAAAATGGTGTAGCATACGACTAGAGCAACAACCCATTAACCATCCAGATATTTAACATATGACAGCATCTCATACTCGAGCTATGTGGACTTAATCCAATCGTTTTACGTCCTCTCATTCCCACGAGACTGCGCCGTCTTCTACGGTACATTTAATGCTCTCTAAATCTTTCTTACTTGGCCAAAGCCTTTCCTGACAATGAAAAGTTACATCTGGAAGATCTAAATGGAGCCCCCAAACTTTACTGGGAGTACCTGAACCTAATGTTGGATGTACGGCAAGGAACCCCTTCTAGCGTTTTCTGAAGTCCAGCATTTGCTCAACACGAACAACATTGAGTACATTAGAGTCCATGGTCACGTGAAAGTAATGTAGGAAGACTAGAATACGGCCGGTTTTCTCGTTGATTGAGAAGACGTTTTTGGAGAACAAGCTGCAATGGAGAAGGGAGATTGGAATCTATTATACACGTCTTCAAACCTGCCTGATAACCCCACTTGTTCTCACCTGAATGAATTTTTGTCTCGATGATTCATCTTGCACCATCAGAGTCCAGGTTTCGGTTCCCATGTTCCAGCCTCCCAGAGACAGCATAGTCTTCAGAGCAGGGTTTTTCTGCTTTTGATTGTTCACTCGAGTGTACCTGGAAATTGTTAACGAGTGTACCTGGAAATTAATATGTGTCACGACGTGGTGGAATCAGGAGCTCGTCAATTTGAGTAGGTGGAGTTATTGATATCTTCTGAAAGCTTGTTCATTTGCCTTACATTTAGTTCAAAATAATATCCATCTAGGTTCAATAGAAGTCGAGATATTTGCGATTGAAGAAGGTGGTTACTTATTACTTTTACTTTTCCATCCTCTGTTGCCGTTAAGCGTCGAGGGGAGATGCAGTTTTCTAGGGTAGACCAGCTCCGCAGCTCTTTCAGTTGTGATGTTATGTTTTCTTAGGCTTTCTTTGACACCCTCGATCTACTTTTTCCGTGACCTTCCTCTTCCTTTATAGCCTGAATGCTTGGTGTTGTTGGCTCTCGAGGCTGGCGGTCAGGTGATATGCGTAACAGGTGGCCAAACCATTTTATCCTCTGTCTTTCTATGTAACGCAGGCAGGACTCAATGCCGATAGCTGCTCTTACTTGTTCATTTCTCTGCCTGTCTCGTCTGGTGATGTTAAGGGTTTTGCGGAGACATTTAATTTCGCATGCGGTGATTTTACTTTCATGGGTTTTGCTTAAAGTCCAGGTCTGGCACTGATAACATAATGTTGGTATGAATATTGAGGTGATAAGCTGTCTCTTTGTGTCCCTGGATATGTTTGGTTGAGATAGGAGGGGTGCGAGCTAGTAGGTGACAGCGTTGGCTTTTTGAGTTCGCATTTCTATTTCTCTGTCTAAGGACCCGCTTTCAGAAAAAGTGCTGCCAAGATATTTAAACTCCATCACCTGTTTCAGTTGTTTACTATTGACGACATGGATGTTCAGGGGACTATGGTTTCAGCTCACTTTCATAACTTCTGTTTTTGATGTACTTATTTTCATGTTGAATTTCTCACAGCTGTAGCTGAGTTTGGTAGTGTGATTTTAGAGGCTTTGTTGGTCATTGTGAATAAGACAATGGTCGTCTGCGAACAGAAATTCATTTAGGCTTTCTGGGCTTTGGTTTCCGTCTTGCGTTATTGTGTCCACATATATTATAAAGAGGAGGGGAGAGAGAACGCATCCCTGTCGTACTCCAGATCTTACTTTGAACCAGTCTTTATTGCCTTCCTTTGTTCTTACTGAGCATCTGCTCTTGGTATATAGAGCTCTGACATTATCTAACATTTGTCCTCTGATGCCTTACTTTTCGAGTGCCTTCCAGAGTTTTGCATGGCTTACTCTGTCAAAAGCCTTCTCCTGGTCTATAAAGACGATGTTGGATTCTTTTTTGTATTCGATTGTTTTTTAGCATATCTGTCGTAATGAGAATACAGCATCCGTGCATCCTCTTCCCTCTCGGAATCCAAACTGAGCTTTGCTCAGATTTCTCTCTACAATAGGTCGTACGCGCTGCTCTAGTATCTTTACGTATATTTTTCCTGAGTGGCTTAACAATGAGATGCCTCTGTGTGTTGTGCAGTCGCCTTTTTTGTTGCCTTTTTCCCATAATGATATCACTATGGCTTTCTGCCAGTCTTCTGGGCATTTTCTTCGCTGCTCCCAGGCTCTGTTGAATATTCGCCTCAGCCACAGTATACGGGTGTTTCCACAAGCTCTTATGGCTTCCACTGTGATGTCATCTGGTCCTGGGGATTTGTTCTTGGGGCTGGTCTTTAGTGCCGTTTCTATTTCACTGGGAAGTATTGGTGGTTCTGTTTGATCTCCATATGACGGTTGGAACTCTTCTTGTTGTCCGCGGCAAGCGTCTGGGTTGAGTAGTTCTTGGAAGTAATTTTCTCATCTATTCTTAATTGCATGATTGCCGAGAATGGCATTTCCCTCTTTGTCATTTATAATGCATCTCGGGTTGTATAGGTCTTTCCTTACCCGCATGCTCTTCAAACCTTTATAAAATTCTCTTGGGATTTCCTTGCAGATTTTGGTCAGTTTCTCACCTTATATTTTCCATGCATTTTCTTTAGCAGTTTCGATGATTCTTCTGGTCTCTCTTCTCGCTTTCCTGTATTCTATATAGTCTTCTTCGGCCTTTGACTTCTGCCATTTCTTGAATTTCTTCTTTTTCATTCTAATTGCTTCTTTGATTTCATCATTCCACCAGCATGTTGTTCTGCCTTTGTTTCCACCTATTCGTTTGGTGCCACAACTGTTTTTCAGTATTTCTGACAGGGATTTTTAAAAAAATATTTGCCATTCGTCTTCTATGTCTTTGATCTCAGATGACAGTTTATAGTACTTCTTGGTAATGTCAGTCTCGACTGATTTCTTGATGTCTGGTTCTTCCAATTTTCTTAGGTTAGTTGAGGTTTTCCCCCTGTTCTTCTCTGTTCGCTTTACATTGTTGGTTGTGAAAGTAAGTATCACAGGTCTGTGGTCCGTGTCGATGATGTTGTTTGGAACCGCTCTCGAATCTTTGGTTGTATGTCTTTGTTTTCTGTGCATCGGGATGAAATCAATTTGTGATGCATGGTTCCGGTCACTCCATTTGTACCAGGTCTTGATTTGGCTTTGTCTATGTTGGAAAATGTGTTCGTAATCATCATGTTGTGCTCAGCGCATAGGTTTAGTATCATTTCTCCATTGCTGTTGCAGTCTGTATGTTTATCGTTGTGGTGTCCCAAGTACTCTTCCCAGGGGGTTCTTCTGCGTCCAACTCTGCCATTAAAATTTCCCAAGATAAATATATCTTCTTTGTTCTTGCTGGCGTTAATATGGTCACTCAGGTCTTGGAAATATGATTGTCTATCTTCCTCTGTATAGCTGTCGTTACAGGGAGCGTATGTTTCGATGTACGTTGTTGTTTTGCCACCCTCTATCAGTTTTAGGCTCACTATTCTCTCTGAGATCTGATTGATTTCATAGATTTTATCCATTTTGGCTGGGTGTATGATGAAATCTCCACCATGTTTGGCTCTCTCATTTTCAGGTGTTCCGCTCCAGATCAGGAAGTAGCCTTTATGGGCCAGCTTGCTGTGGTTGCCTCTCTATTTGAATATTTTGACGAGCACCTGATTTTACCACGCTTCCATACTAAATAAAAGTATAGGTAATACACTGAAATGAAGCACACTTTCGACTAACCACCCCCAAAATCAAACCAAGGGAACAGCTCATTCTTTTAAACAGAGAACCTACGACAGGCAGACCCAGGATAGAAGATAAAATGGCCGAGTGGTGAAGAGAGAATCCCAGAAATACAGAGGAAAGTTTAACGGTAGAAAAAGCAAATCCCGTTCTCTCAAGTCCCGACGCTATACAAAATACAACTGACCCGCACACCTCCCACCACAGTAATAATAGTAATATTAGTTTGTATTTATATAGCGCTCTATCCCATACTAGTATAAGCTCTGAGCGCTTTACACCAATCACTTAATCAATCACACAAGAAAAAAAATTCACAGAAACAAGAAAAACCAGTTTAACCACATTAAGAAAAACTTTCACAACCATACATTAATTATCCACGAAAGAACAGTGAAAAAAAAGTAGATACATGTATATTAAAAAATCAGAACTTGATAACTGACTATAACTAACAATTGAACAAATTATGAGTCTTGAGCAAACGCTAAAACCTACCAAAAGTTGTTGTTTCTCTAAGATCCTGAGGCAAGGTGTCCAAGATTTTTGGGCCAAAAAATGAGAAACTTTTCTCTCCAAAAGATCGTAGTTTTATTCTAGGGGCTTTGAATTTTGTTGCATCTGTTCATGACCGTAACTGACGAGATGGTACATACAGTGTTAAAAGCTCAGATAAATAGGATGTATCTTTATCTTTAATTAAGACATTTAAAACAGATGGTAGAAACTTTATACTGGATTCTTTTATCAACAGGAAGCCAATGCAGAGCTTTTAACCTTTTTGATGCAGGATCTTTCTTCTTTTTCTTCAGCACTACTCCTGCGGTGTTATTTTGGGCCACTTGCAATTTCCTCATTCGTTCACACGAAATACGAGGCTGAACAGAATTACAGTAGTCAAGTTTTTACTAGGCAAGAGAAACAGAGAGCATGCATGCAACATTGGTTGAAATAAGGTGCCTTATCTTACTAATTCTCCTAAGATCAAGGTACATACATCGAATAACATGATTTACTCGGTTGTTCAAGGACCTATCTGAATTAAAAAAGATACCTAGATTCTTAACCTTGTCGGAAAAGGATATGCCTAGCTGGCTTCTTTTAAAATCATTAAGGTTTTTTAAACTCCCAAATAAAATAGTTTCTGTTTTTTCTTCATTCAGCACGTACAAAGGACAACGGACCCACACATCCCCTACCACGTACAAAGGGCAACCGACCCCCACATCCCCTCCCACCACGTACAAAGGACAAATGACTCACATTCCCTCCGACCACTCGGTGTCGTCATCGTTCCACTCGAAGGGAGCCAGAAGACCGTCCACTAGAATGGCAAAGGCGTAGTGAATGTGAGTGCACATGTTCGCGTCTATATCCTCGGGGAAGAACACGCCTTTGCCCGGCCGGTACTGGGCCCAGTTAGTGTAGTAGCACACTAGCTGTTTTTTCTCATCAGAACCCCTGCTCCCGTTACGGGTTTGGCGGTTTCCTGCAAATCCACGGAACGCACCTGGAAGCAACAAGGGGGAGAATAAAACGGGGTCATATTTTCGGTAAATTTCCAACATTTAACTTTTTAATTTGCAATTTTGCCAGAGGCAACATAAGAGAACAAAATCAAACATTTCTATAAATCATCGGGGCATGGAGAATTTGAAAGTTTAAAGACCTATTTTTTCTAATGTTAAAATCAATGTGACATGTGTATGTTATACAATACAGGGTGATCCAAAAAAAACTTTACAACTTTTAAAAAAAAATATCTCACACAAAAATTGTTCTAGAACGCTGTAATTTGGAACAGACATAATTCATTCAAAAGGAATTTGTTTGATATAAAATCCACGAAGAAGAAACATGTTTTGAAAACGGAAACGGCTAAAAGAAAAAAAGCACCCAAAAAACGCAAAAGTTCACCAATGTTTAAAAATCTTGTAAAGGTAGTCGTGAAAAGATTAGCTGACCTTCTTTATTTTCTCTTTGACATTAATTTTCCATCCCTGTGACATCTTAACAATATTTAATTTCGTTTACAGACAGAGTTTTAAAAACCTAATGATTTCATTCTGAAATTCCTAGAAGCAGTGCTCCACATTCCCTCCTTTGGACTCGACACATTTTTAACGCGTCGTTCGAAATGTTCAGTGGCACCCTAACACAAAGATCTGCTCAACCATGAGTCTTTAAAGCCACATACACTGTACATATTCACTAAGAAGTGGCTTCTAGAGACAATAGAGTGGGGTGCCCAATAAGCAGCATTTTTGGAGATAACATATCCCGCCGGGTGAAAATGGGCTTCGCACCAAATCAAAAGTCATCGAGGAAATGATCCCTCTTTACAAGACAATCGAGGAATCATGAACTCATTGCCATGCTCTGATCCATGTCATCTCGGCCTAGCTCTGGTGACGTTTAAAGGGCTGTGCATGGTGTGTGTTCTACCTGAAGTGGTCATTTTTTAAAGAACTTTTTGGTTCTAATTCGCTATAGATCTTAACTGACGGAACTTCTCTACTCATGACGCCAAAGGTTTTGAGGGCACCTAAGCATTCTCTCCATGCCGTGCGCAGAACTAACGAAATGTCAGGGATGGTGAGTTTGTGGAGAGATAATGTTCAATACAAAAAGCTCTCTCCTCTTTACTAAACGTAGCCATGATCTCAGCAGGCAAACAAAATTTGGGAAAAATAACATCTGCAGACTTCTGTTGACCTGTTAAGACTGCTGTAGCTTGCAATAAGGCGCGATTGTTGCAACTTTTAGAGGTAGGCCTAATGCGAACTGGTGCGTCATGCTATGAAAATGGCGACAAGGTTGAAAATGGGTTGTTTTTTTAAAATGCGCTATATACAGCAAAACCATTCAATGGACTTGTGTAAAATACATATCAGAAAATTTCCTTTTGGCTTCCAAACGTTATGTTCAAATCTGAAACGCAAGACTTCAGTATGGGGGAAGATATTTACAAAACAAGTTGTAAATTTTTTTTGGGATCACCCTGTACCTAAAACAAGATGATTGGGTATGAGTTTCAGGGCAATCTTGACACAATACACGTGTAATAAGGGGGGGGGGGTGGAAATGCTAGATTTTAATTTATGTTGCAAGGCTCTGAAGTACAGAACTCACTTGGGGGAAGAAATGTGAAGTTCTACAAGCCTCCTGTACTTTAACTTACCTGCTTGACAGGCCGCCAGAGCAATCCCAAGCAGAATGCAGAGAGCTGAAGCTTGCAACGTCTGAAACAATAAGGAACAGTAGGAATAATTCTTGGGGAATGTATTCGTTGAAGCTGTTAGACAAGTTATTTTTCAAATTGTTGCCATGTGCATTACAATACTAGGGGAATTCGATACTAAAATTTACCGAGTTCTTGAAATGAAAAAAAAATGCGCAGATAATATAGATCTACTGCACAATAGGCTATTATGTTCACATACATGTCAATAATTATAAATGAACAGATTCCACTAATTTTGGACTTTCTGACAAGTCCTGTTGAAAGCAAGAAAAATACGGGTCCAGTTAGTGCGATTCCTTTTTTCATTATTAAAGTATATAAAACATAGCCAATTGTTTCTATCACACATCCTTCAGATATTCGCATTTGAGTTTGAGACAAGAGTATCTGTGATACGACATAGGCATGAGTTCATCGTAAATTGGGTCGAGTTCGTGGCAGTGATGCCCCACGCGTAAACGAACGGGGCTGCGTGTGGCGTGTGCCCACGCTGGAACGCTGAACCTCAAGGGCAATGCACAGTTCAATAGACGGGCGAGTACTTTTCGAGACTAACGTGGAGACGTCTCAGTGGTCTAAGGGCCCGTGTCCACCTCGACGGACACCAACCGACCCGATTCCGTCCGTCTCTCGGAAAGTCGGTAATTTGAAAGGAGCACCGTTTATTTCCTAAAATATCAGTGAAAAGTCCGTTTGGCTGTGTCAACAGACACGACACGACACGCCCCCAACAAAAAACGTGTCGGTTGGAAAGCCGCTTGCTCAATTTTAGCCGGGCCGGGTCGTGACTGCATGGGGAGCAATAGGCCCCGCCGGAGCTAAAAAGATTAAAATTTGAGTTTGGATAGAAATTCTAATGTCATATTCGTAATCAGCGCCTCAAAAATAGCAAATTTTACGCGCAAAGCACCTGGTTTAAATGCATATTAACAATTTACCACTTTTCCTTTTAAAAAACCCATTCATTTCTTTTTCCCACATTGGGTTCATTGACCTGGACTATTTATGGACGACGGGGAGTTATAATATTAAAACTAATAGATCTATCTTAACGAAAGCTGACTGGTTTAAACTGGGTTCGAATCTTTACCTGGTCGATTCATACATAAAATGCTTTAGATTAGAATGTAAAGTACAGTGCTTTGACTGTCCTTTATCAGTACATTAATTTACACTGGTTACTGGGAGGTGTGGGTTCAAACTTTGTTACCTGTCGATTCATGAAGGAGACTTCAATAAATTTAACATCCCTGCAGCTCTTTCGCCTAATATTTTACATTATGTAACCAGTGCTAGGAGAAGTCGTCGACCCGTTGTCTGAAGGCCAATACTGTGAACATGTGCAATGGTTAAGGTTTAACGCACCTATCAACACTATAAGTATAAGGTTATTCAAGAGGAAAAAGGGGGAGGGTGGTTTGAGGGGGGGGGGGCTATATCTGCCCATGTGGAAATTTAGCTGTACTACGTGAAATATCCCAATGTGCAGGTCATCAATTGTTAGACCAGAATTGTTGATAAGAAGACCTCTCTGTGTTTACAAAAATATCAAACAAAACCCCAAACCAACCCAAATTAAGTTGTTTAAAAAGCCAGGACAAGACTTTTTGGGGACATTTGTCTGAGAAACCTCCAGTTTTCTTTGATATCCTCCAAGGGCAGGGCCTTGGTATGGCATACGTTGGTCTCTAGGTTCTAATCTGGATCGGGAGGTTATGGGTTCGATTCTCCTCTGAATTATAATAACATTTAAAATTTGGTCACTTTGCTTCTTATTGTTTGGGGCATGATTGAAAGAATACTATAGTAATCAGTATCGTTTGACTGCACCTAGGTGGGGTTCATTTCTCCTTATAAAAGCAACATGGACACACATTAGATCCTTTTAGAAGACAGGTTTTGATTCCGTCCGTCAGGACCAAACCGAGCGGAGAGAGATACAACATCCCAGTAGAAATACCGAAATCATTGATAAATATTCTCCTCATCCAGGAACTGAACTCGGGTCGCCTGTGTATGACAGCGGAGCGCCTTACTGCCACATCACAGACGCCGGTCAAGACAGTAAGGAGTCTGGGACAGTAAGTATTTTATTTTCTTGATTTTCAACAAACTATTGCCTAATACCACATTTTGGCATTCTTTTCCAAGGCTTTACCTCGTTTCTTGCTTAGGAGTCTGTATTTCCTTGATATGGTTAAGATTTTCTTTTACTGGTTTGGTGAATCTTTTTTCTACCGAAATTTGATAGTCCATGTTTCTATACACAATCAGCGGAACGATAGGCCTACGTCTGAATGGATCATAATTAATTAAAAAGCTTTTACAAGACTATTTAAGGGAAAGTGCGTTATTTGTTTCCCGAAAGATTAATCAACGTTACCACATCTCACGCAGCTGTTTTTCTGTAACAAGGACTGACTCCTGAGCAAGAGACTGAATTACATTTGTAATAAAGGTTTGACCAATGATTGTTAGTGACAATATTAATCAGGGACAGCACGCCACGTCATAAATGAAATAATCATATCATAATTAAAAACAGTTTTCAGTGATGACTGAAGGAGAAGATGAGGATCTGTCTTGAAGGAGACAAATGATTCATGCATCTGTGGCACATAATATATAAAAAATACATGAGATTCAAAAAGTGTAAAGCTGCTGCTCACAAGCTTCCAGTATGGACAATCCACTTTCTGAAAAAATTAAACCACAGCACATACTAAAGCCATCAAACGTTCACACACACACCCCGCCCCCCCCTCTCTCTCTTTCTCTCTCTCTCTCTCTCTCTCTCTCTCTCTCTCTCTCTCTCTCTCTCTCTGTCTATCTGTCTATCTGTCCGTCTGTCTGTCTCTTCACGGCCTGAGTTGGAATTTTCTGACCTTGTTTGAACCTAAGCATTTATATTTAAATTCAAACAAAGACAAAGAAGCGGGGAAAAACAAGGATTTTTATTTTTCTGGTTGAAGCTGAATTCTTGTTGAATCTGATCTCGCTGTGTCCGAAGTCCACAGCATTAACAGATCTATGTTGCCATGGAAAAATAGAAGACTTATGTTCCAACAATTATTAGAATACTCAGCAGGTTTTGACTAAACTAACTACGCCTTCTAGGAACCTGATCTTCTACTATTCCTTACTACTCTCCTTGCGGCAGTAAATCTCACACGTTTCATTTAAAATATATGTCACCGTAAGGCAATTTGAATGGGCCAAGGTTGATTTGTCCGAGGGCACTTTTTATATTTTACTGCTGACAAAACAAAACCACAAACAAAATACACACATTGCTATGTTTCATCATGAAAATAATGTTTTTTATTTAAAAAATCAATACAAGGAATAGGGGGTTTGTAAAGTTGACCTGTATCCACTATTCATTCATCGTGGGAATGGGTTCCCGAATTTGAATAAGGCGAATTTATTTTTGAATATAATACATTTACTAACCAATTAACTACTTGTGATTCATTGTTAAAAGATGTTTAAGAAAAGTGGTAGAATACGACATATTAAAAGCTAGATTACCACAAGCTTATGAGCGGCGCACCGGCGTGACGCTCGCCAGCCAGTTCTCGTCTCGCTTTTGCTCAGTCGATAAAAGTTTCCAAGCATTGGTGCTTACATCGACACAACATGGTCCTAACACTGTTTACATACTCTTATAGTAAGGTGGAAGAGCTTTCAAGTCAAAATTTTCAGCCGAATATTTCGATAAAATCCTTTCGAAAAAACTTTCAAAGTTTTTTGTTATGGATTTTATGCACTTTGAGTTAAAATTAGCACAGCAATTATATACTGAAAGAAACATCAATTTATGTACTTTTAAATGTACTTAACTACATTATAATCGATTTGGTACGACTGGAGCATCGACGTTTTGAAAACGCTTGGGCTGTGGAGATTCCACGAATTTGCGTCCGAAAAACACTGAAATGCCGAGTCGGTGCCCAACTTAAATCCATTTATGCTTACTTTTTTATTTGTTCGTTTTCCGACGTTATTGCATTGGAGATTCAGGATAAGATTTGTAAATGTATGAACATTTTAAAGTTTACTGGAACGGGAAGCAAGATACAGTGAGGTAATTCTCCTCAGTTTTGCCGCAATTACCCGACGAGCGCCATTTTCGCACAGTATCACGTACCTACTTCCTGTCTGCAAAACAGCATTATCTATTTACGCAAAAATAGAAGCTTCTTTGCTTTTCCAGCAACAGCAGTAAGTATGAATATGAACATTAAAGGTGTACAACTTACAACGTATTTCTCAGGCAAACTTGTTTATTGAACACGTCAGTATCTGAAACTTATTTCAAAGGCAAACTTTTAATTGAAAACAAAATATCACGCAATGCCATAATCGCATCCAAATAATTAAAAAATATTATATTCAACGATGTATTCATTCTTGCAATCAAAGAAAGTCGCCCAATGTTCTCAGTAAATGTTCAAGACCTTGCTGTTCACGATGCGCTATAACAAACTCATAGTCATAGACTTGTGGTGCACGTCTGTCAGCCATCAGCAGGCCCGAGCAGCTGTAAGACTCTGTGTGATGTTTTTTTCTTTAGTGTTACAAACATTGGTGTATTAATTTGAGGCACCATAATTATGAATAAGTAGGTACCATCGTCTTCGTTTATCACTCAGTATACGAGTAAATATCAGTCACTGGCTGCTTTGGCTATTATTGTGATGTCCCTTCGGTTTTCTCGGAACTGTTTACGCAAGAACTGAAAACATGAACAAGATTGGAGTACGATGGACAAAGAAAACAAATGAAAACATCGGGCAGCTTCGAAAAAGAAATTACTGCTGTGGTTAATGAAATTTAGTAGTGTTTTCTCTTTATGCCATGCAGTATCAGGTGAGTGATAAAAAGAAATGAGACACAAAAAGGCTTACCATGATTAAGAGCTGATCGGAGTTGGTGTCAAACTCTGTGTGGAGAAAAGAAGGAAACAGTCCTCCTTTTAAACTACATTTGGGCGAGGGATCTGTGCCAGCGAGGGTTGCCGCCTCCACATTGCTATTATTCTATTTTTT